TTAGTCTAAACACAGCAGAGGCTGCAGATAGCAAAGTTTGCGTGGAGAGAAGATGAAAAACACCACCTTAACCTCAGATCTGACAAATGTAATGTAAGGTGGTCTCAGCTATGAGATGAGTTATGAAAACATGTCCTTAAAGAGCAGTAAATGAGGCATTTTGAAGTGCAGTTAGGGAACACATAGGCAAACCTTGGAAATTAAGAATCTATAGTCTCAGTGTTCATGGCAGATGTATGAAGATTTAAAGAGAAAAGCACATTTCCTTTTTCTCTTTCAAAAACAAATGGCAAAGTATATTTTAGAAATAGGAACGTACCAATTACATGTTGGGGGAGTTAGCAAGCACACAAAAAGGAGTTTGTGGAAATCATCCCACTATCTGTGTTTTGCTGCTAGGTACTAAAACTCATGCAAAGTAGCAAAATTAATAGTGAACAGTTGTCCTTTTCAACCTGAAGGTAATTAGAAGGCCTTCTTTATTTATGAAGACCAATGTATGTGAATCAAAATGTGAGTAAAGAGGACTTCCGGGTTTTGTGTCTGCAGCACATGGCCGCGCGAGAGCGGACCTCCGCTCCCCACGGCTAATTTCTTCCTTCTTGGGGGACCCTAGATGGGTCCGAAATTGCCCCGGAGAGGTGACTGTGATGGAGGGGCGTCCCGTCGATCACAAAGCGATAGTAATCACTTTGTTTGATCTGGGGAAATCCCTCTGAACCCGACAGGAGAAAGGCTGGCATGAGATCAGCGTCTAGCCCAAGCTGCTTGTAGCTGAAGTCCCAGAGCACAAACCTAAACATCGGTGAACAGCGTGCTTGGAATTGGTGAGACTACTGATCTTCTTTCTTCTATCTACTATTTACATCCTTGAAAAGATTCCCAAAGCAAGAAAACCTCCAGAAGTGAAGGGAGGGGACTATATCCCCATTTCCTTACAGACGGAAGTGGCAAATTAACATAAAAGGTGGAAAGAGATATACTAAAATTTGATTTAAAATATTTCAGTCTGGACAAATCTAGGAACTAAAAAACTGTCAAGATTATACCCTAAAAAATTTCTAATGGAATTATAAAAATATATAACAAAAATAACTTTTTGATTGAAAGAAAAACTGAAAAAAAAATGCTGACATCTAGTGGAGAATCAGAGAATAGAACACTAACAACAAGGACTCAGAAATTGGCAGAATGCCCAGAAACAAAGAAAAAGTTGTTCCTTTGAATTGCAAACAACACTGAAGACAGCTGGGAACAAACAAATAGCCAGCTATATGATTAAAAAGTGTTTGAAAGAAAAAAAAAACTGGACTGTTGCTTAAATCTAAGAACTGTTTATGGAAAAAAAAAACCCTTGGCTTTTTGGCTAATCTTTTAGAGGAGAATTTGCAGGAAGGATTTAAAGTGGTTTAATATACTGAATCTGTAATTTTGACTGACTGACAAATTGACTTTTGAATTAAAACATTGATGAAAGATTATTTGAAGGGAGGAGACAACATGAATATCACATACGTATCAAAAAATGACAGGATGCCTCATTCAATATTTTCCCCTGAAGGACTTAGCCTGGAAAATCAAGAGCCTCCAGAAGCAATACCTCAAGGCAAGATAAATACTTTCCTGGAGGAAATATATGTAATGTTAGGACAAATACAAATGACAATAGATTCAAACCATGACGAATTTTGAAACAACTTTGAGGATTTAAATAAGCATATTTCCAATCTAAATCTACAATTAAAAAATACCCAGGAAATAACAACAAAGGAACAAACAAATCGGACAGCAGATTACAAACTAGAAGAGTATGATCAAATTGATGAAATAACAAAGGAAAAGAATTACAATTTGACACAAACAGGAAAAAATCTACAAGGTTCTGATATAAGAAAAATGGAATTATTAGGAAAACTATTAAAGGTTGGGGGACAGAAAGAATTTATCTTACTTACTTCATCTTTTGTATTCCCAACAACATTTGTAAAAATACAGGAACTGTTGGATAAGCGGATTACATCAACTTGGAAAATTACTTGGCAAAAGAAGATCAGAGACAGATACAAGAGATTTGACTCGCCCTACCAGATGTACTATTACGTGAATAAACATTTGTTTGAATATGGCAAAAGAACAGAGAATTTCGAACATAAAGGGGCCTTATAACAAAAAGGATAATGAGATTTAAGTAACATAGTATGTTTTATAATATGTTAAATGTTAAAATAGTAGGTTGATGTAATTTTTATTAATATATAAGTAAAATATAAACTGATTAAAAAGGATGTTATATCTAGATACTATAAGACAGATAAAAAGTATAGTATTTTTATAATGCATGACACAAAATATTGGGATGATGAACCTAAATGGGAAAATTTAGACAGTGAGATGACTAATATGAAGACATTGTGACTGATAAGAATTGGATTGAATATAAGGGAATCTAAGCGAACAAAAATTATAAAAATAGGATGTATGCTGAACTAATGAGATGATGGTTATGAGAATAATATAAGCTGAAAAAAATGTTATATAGAGAGATTATTATTATTTGTATAAATATAAAAAGTGCTTATACTTAATCATTTATATATTGAAAATATTAAGAATTATATTTTGGCTAAGATCAAAGAAATGTATTATTAATTAATATATTAATTATGGAATTATCAAATTTAATCATTATTGACAATTAATTATTACTGTCCTTTTTTTCTGGTTAAAATATAAACCAAGACAACACGCTGTACACCAGGCACTGGAGATTGTTATAGTTAAAAACCAATAAAATATCTATAAAAATGTGGGTAAAGAACATGATTGGAAGAAAGTTTTATGTTAAAGAGGAAAGTTGTTGCTTCTCTGCCAGAAACCCTCCTTCCACTCGCATGAGCCAAGTTCATGGGCTTGCTTAAAACATATGGTTAAAAGCATATTAAAAATAAATATAAAAGCAACTGAAAAGCAAGATGCAAAATCGTTTTGAAACTGAAGTAAAGCCAGATTTTTATGCCAGAATGAATCCAGGTTGAAATTATATACATTCCACATAACTGTTATTGCTAATTATAATTTGAAATGCAAATTTGACATATATAGGAACAGGTATTTGCTTGTCTCTGGCTTAGTCCTCTTTTATACTGGTATTAATTCACAGCCATAAGCCCCATTCAGCTGTTATAAAAACAAAAAAATTATCCTGCATTCAAGGCTTGAGTGTATATTAGTCTTACATTCCCTACAAAGGTAAGCATCTGCAGTGGAGAGTATCTTCTATCCAATGAATCTCTCCTTAGTGGTTTCTGGAAATGAGGATACTTAATCATATGAAGAGCTTCTCCATTCTACACATGGGAGAGCAATACAAATGGGTCCTCCTAGACCTAGACTGTTTCAGAGCAAAACAATAGGGCTATAAAAGCACAAAGATCCAGATTTACTTCAGTTTACAACTGAATATACTGTGTTATTGCTCTTGCTTTAACAACAATCCAAATTCAGGACAAAAAAAATATCAAAAATACGTTTATAATACCTTGTGCCAACATCCTGGTACTGGTAATCCATCTGGACCCTGCAATGAAATAAAGAATCATTTTGTATTATTGGAAAACTGCTAAGAAACAAATGCCACTTCATTAATGATGATTTTGGAAAGTCTATAGCAGCTACCATGAAGAGCAGCTAATGTGTGAAGACCCATGCAGAAATCATGTGCTGGTTTGAAGAAAAAATATATTGGAACAAACAATGTTGCATTACTTAATAATCCTTAAAACAATCAAATATCTGGATTCTTGTACGCATTTATCTTATCAAAATGTTTTGATTTAAGGAATCACATGACTCTTTGAGGCAACAAAAGCTGTAACATAGCTAAATTAAATCCACCTGTGCAGTCTGTAGGACATACTATTGAGTAACTCCATAGGAGGTTATGACAGAAGTTTACAAAGGCTACTATATATCCTTTAAATGAGAGTGGGAGCAAAGATTAGGAAATACTAGCATCTTCTTAGGTATTTTTTAAAATTATCTTCCATGTCCATGTTTTCAGTTTACAACTACCAGTTGGTGGACAGACACACTTGATACATTAGCTATGTAAACATTGGAGCAGCTATGCACAACATGCTTGAAAGCCCCTTGACCAATTTTGCACAAACACAAAAGATGTGTTTCATAAATCTTGTGGCATTTAGATAAAAAAGGTTGGAATAAAATACAGAAAGTAGTACTATTTATGGAACTTGACATCAGATTTTAGAGTTTGCAATTTTCTCCTAAGCATCTGACAGGGTAAATTAATGGCAACCACTAAAGCTGATGCATCACTGATTACAAAACCTGACTGAGGAATCAGAGCAGACACGAGTAAAAAAAACAAAGCAAATAGAACAATTAAAGTCAACCATGATATTCATAGATGGAGAAGACCAGAAGACAGGACTGACAAAGGAGGACCTAATTGGGAAGAGGTGAGTTGGAATATCCTCCCAATCCAGGATTTTGTTGAGATTTTAAGAGTTTGCCCTGAGCATCTGCATGTAGCATTAGCTGTTTTATGTAGTTCAACCAGTACAAACTTTAATAATCCAATGAACTAAGATACATACTGTTCAAAGGGACAATGGTGGGATCAAACAAAACTGAAAAATATCTTATGAAGCAAATAGCTTGTTAGGAAGTAAAAAGGTGATTTGAAATGGCCCAGATTTAGGCTTAAAAAGGACTGTCCTGGTGCTTTGAATCATCTCAATTTCCCACTAATTATTAAGTTGTGACAGCTATACTTCTGTGGATCATGAAATCAGCCCAATCAAACCTACTTTCCCAGGGCCAAAGCAAAGATAGAGAGGAAAGGAAAAGTGGGTACAACAGAAACCAAAGAACCCTTAATATTAATGCAAAAGGAAAACTAGCCATATATTATGAACATTTGGCTGAACTTTATTGCTAAAACACAGATCTGTATACTTGTATCACTGCAGTAACTTATATCAATTAAATGTTGTATTTGACATCCTGTGTGAAATCATGTCAATTTGCTCACATATTCTTATAGTCTAGCAGATTCTGCTTTTAAAATATTTTAAACACACACACATACACACACACAGAGAGAAAGAGAGAGCGAGCAATAACTTTCCTTTGTGACTGGCTGTGTTACAGAATTTTGTTTCCTATACTCAGGGCTTTTTTTCAGCCGGAACGCGGCGGAACCGCGTTCCGGCACCTTTTTCCGGGCCGGCCGCACCGGAAATAGCCCCTCCCACACCGGAAATAGCCCCTCCCAAATTTTACTTGCATTCCTGTTCTCTAAAGGGGCGGTCCTAGGGTTTGATGAGGGCGTGGCCAGGTTTGAGTTCCGCCACCTTTTCTCNGGAACGCGGCGGAACCGCGTTCCGGCACCTTTTTCCGGGCCGGCCGCACCGGAAATAGCCCCTCCCACACCGGAAATAGCCCCTCCCAAATTTTACTTGCATTCCTGTTCTCTAAAGGGGCGGTCCTAGGGTTTGATGAGGGCGTGGCCAGGTTTGAGTTCCGCCACCTTTTCTCCGAGAAAAAAAGCCCTGCCTATACTCAAAGTAGTGAGATGCTGATCCAAACTTTGAAAGACTTTTAAGATGGAGCTACAGAAATTCCAAAGGAAAGACTTTTAAGAAAGGTGTGGAGCAAAGATTATATAGCTAGATCTTGGGAACATAAAGAACCTGTGTGACGCTCCAAATTTGGCATACCCTTCTAAATTCTATGACTCAGGTTTTGCCTTTCCTAGCATCTGCTTCTTGGTACCTTTTTAAATGGAGAAACCAGAGACTCAAACTGAACCTTTCACCATGCCTAGCCTTTGTTTGGAATGCCAAGGGGACTGTGCCAAGCTACTTCCAGGGCACACATTGGGGAAAATGTTGTTTGAGAATCTACATTTATCCCTTTATCTTTCAATGGTACCAGATGCTTCATATAATAATATATGTATTATATATTTTAATACAAAGCTCTATTCAGAAAAAGTATACATTTTGTATGCTTTTCCTGAATAAAGCTTTGTATATAATAATAATAATTAATAATAATAATAATAATAATAATAAAGTTGGAAGGGACCTTGGAGGTCATCTAGTCCAACCCCCTGCTCAGGCAGGAAACCCTATACCATTTCGGACAAAGGCTGTCCAGTCTCTTAAAAACTTCCAGTGTTGGCGCGTTCACCGCTTCTGGAGGCAGGTTGTTCCACTGGTTAATTGTTCTAACTATCAGGAAGTTTCTCCTTAGTTCTAGATTGCTTCTCTCCTTGATTAGTTTCCACCCGTTGCTCCTTGTCCTGCCTCCAGGCACTTTGGAAAATAGCTTGACTCCCTCTTCTTTGTGGCAGCCCCTGAGATATTGGAAAACTGCTATCATGTCCCCCCTTGTCCTTCTCTTCGTTAAACTAGACATACCCAATTCCAGCAACCGTTCCATATATATATATTGTTTTTCATAAGCATTATGTAAGCCACTCTCTGTGAAAGAGAAAGATAGTTTCCAGACTGGGAGGAAGGGAGAATATGCCAAGCAGAAAAAGCCATGCAGGAGGAGGAAGGAAGAGAAAGATACTATACCAAAGGACAGAGCATTTCCACACCATCCAGTTCTGGTAAACCCGGCTCCCCTTTAAAAATGAACTGTTAATTGAAAATGGAGAGAAGGTTAATAGGAAAGGAAGAAGGAACAGAAATAAAAATTCAGAGATTGACTGAAACTTATAGCAGGAGCGGGCAACCTCCCAAGAAGAGGCCTTCTAGTGATGAAGTGACGTGACCTGATAGAGCTGATCAAGTTCTTTCAACCCTAACCTTTTTGTTTTGTTTTGTTTTGTCTTAAAGGGAGGGAACAGGAGCAGAAAGAAGGCAAGCTGTTCCATTTCCTCTCAAAGGCCTACATTTTGGGGAGGGATGGTGGGTGTTTCAAAAAGTGGACATTGGAAGCAGTTTGACTTGCAGAGGCCTCCTACTCCTTCTGCCATCCTTATTTTTTGAGGGCAGGGGGAGAAATCACAATAATGGTGTCCTTGGAAATGGAATTTTGGTGATGTGACCAAAATTAGAAGCCACAACCAAGGGACTCTGAAGCTGACCACAGCCTGCTGGTTGCTCACTTTTTTCTATAGAGGCTTCAGGACATTCAGGATAAAACTGACAGGTGACAGGAGGAACAACAAAGGCCTTTCTGTTTTTTTTAATAAAGCAAAGCTTTAAATGGTATTGTCCTAAAATGACAGGCGAGGAGTGTGGCTTTCAGGGTGGCTTGTGAGATGTTTTTAGCCATCTGTTCAATATTAGGGAGCAAAAGCACATTCCAGTCTGTGGCATAAGAAAGGCCAATAATCAGAAGTATTAGCATTCACTTAGACACTTCGTTCCAAACAGCCTCTCTCTCCAAAATGTTTTGAAATAGATTGCTTCTTATACTAAAGTTTTCAAACATATCAAGAATATTCCCCCCCCCCCCCAAAATAAAATCATACCACTGGGCAAGGCTGATCTAATCCAGGAGGGCCTGGTTCTCCTTTTTGTCCTTTTGCTCCTTTTCTGCCCGGCAATCCTCTTTCTCCCTGTAGACATTAAATAAAAGTATAGATATATTCTTAAAGAATTTGCATGACAAATGTCTCAACCTTCTCGATCGTGGGTCAAGAAGAATCGAAAACGTAATATCTTACAAGATAAACATAATTTACTAACTGTGTCGAAGTCTGGGAAGGATATCTTTGTAAACTGACTACATTTGTTAGCTATACTTAGGTTCTTTAATCGAGTTAAAAAATTAAGATGTTTTCTTTTACTATAGAGGACTTGCTTATATATGATATTGTTAGGTACCAAATAAAGAAGATTTAGATTAAGGTTAGTAACTTTTTCAAGCCACCAGCAAATAAACAATAATGGCCAAATAAACAAAATGCCCAAAATTTCATAAAAATCAGCATACACATATTCTTGTAATCTCAAAGTAGAGTTGATAATTTTAGGAGATTTATGACTTTTAAAAATGCTTTATTTAAATGTGGGTACCATAGGTAGTTTTGATGCTGTGGTGCCAAGCCTAAATTAGATCTGTAACTTATAATGAAGAGTTTACAATGTGGAAAATATAAATGTGGTCTTAACACAACTCTGAGTTATGTCATTCTTAAATGTTTCCCTATACAAATATGTGGAAAATTAACATTTCAAGGAAGAGGATTTATATGTTCTTATCAAGAACATATGAAGAGGAACTTTATATGTTCTTGATAAGACAATTTCCTAGAGCAGAGATGTTTTATGAAGATGTGGGAATAAAATAAGAAAACACTCAGGTGTAATTTTTTTTTTAAAAAAATAAATTTTTCAGTACAAAATGTGCAGCTATGTATTATTTTAATTATATGAATTGTTTGAGTTAAATAAGTTGAATCTGTCTTTTTCATTAAGTGAAGGATAATATTTGTACAAAATACTGTGCTAATAGATTGTCTTGTTAGAATATAATGGATATATAATGTAATGAATAGATTTTATTAGATTATATGGGAGAACAAAGGTACAGAGATAGCTTTTTTGACGAGCAGAAAAGAAGACAAGAACTTTATTCAGAGAATTAGAAGTGATAGCAACCTTTTCTCCTCTTTCACTTTTTTCTCCTTTTTCTCCTCGGAGGCCAGGGAAACCCTAGAAAAACACAATGGCAACATTTAGAGTCAAATACTCAAGAATAACATTAATCATAAAGCAAAAGACAACACGTTCCTTTCTTTCAAATAAGTACAGCCAAGAATCATTCTCAGAGGAAAGAAGAAACTTTTTTTTTGTGTTGATGTGTATATGCATGAGGTTGCACACCCATGGAAACACACACACACAAACACACATGTTACAGATTCTTAATAGTGGTTCTGATGTGTATAATTCAAATCTCTTAAGAAGCCACTAGATGGCACAGAACTCAAACTCAAGTGAACAGGACAACAGCAGTTCATTATGACATTCTTATGATAGGGACCATATGGAGAAGGCCGATATCTCCGATTCAAAACTATGTGTAGTTTAGAGTTCAGTTTTTAATTTACTCAGAAACTATGACCGATAGCCACTATAATCTCGCAAACAGAAAACCTGGAAGACTTAATCCCAAGCATCCTGCTATCTTTTCAGTTTTATGTCTTTTATTTATAAAACAGAAGTGAATGACCTACTTTAAGACTGCTTTTTTTTCCTTTCAAATATTCAGCTGAAGGAAAACGTTTACTGTAAATACTACAGATAGAGCTTGCCTAACAGCCTTAATTGGGACCAGCAACTCTGTTGCTAAACTAAGTGGTTGCTAAAATGGGAAATCAGGTGACCTTGATTGTGCTTTCTGGCTAGAAAGTGACAAGTCCACTCAGTTTCACACTTTTGGCTTTCGTTTGCCTCTTAAACACTCTCCTGCCTTGGGAATGCTCCAGGGCTTGCTTACTACTATCTTGTACACACCGAAAGCAAAGCAAATGTGCCAGAGCCTAGGCTGGGAGCCATGGGTCGTTACTAAACAGCTTGCAGTAGTCTCTTCCTCTCCATTCTCTCTGCTCTGTGTGGGAGGGGAAGCAAGCAATTTTTTTAGGCAACTTGTTTTCCTTTTGCTTGACCCTTCCTCCCACCCCTACTCACAAAGTGGAGAGGTTGGAGAGGGATTTCAAGAGAGCAAGATGTTTGCTCTTCTGCACATCAAAAGCAATAAGATCAGAGTTGTGGATGCACTATGAGGGGGGAGGGAAGTAAGCAGTTTCTGTTCACAATCACTCCTTTATCTGACTCCTTCCCATTGTTGGTGGCATTACCACTTTGCTTTCAGGGTGCAGAACAGCAAACAGCTTGCTCACTTGTAATCCCTTCCTCTACAATCTTGCTCTGCATGAGGGTGAAAAACTCAGGTCAGGCACAGGATAGTTTGTACTGAGTATAATTGCAATCATGTGACTAAGAAATGCTGTGAAACTCAGAAATGGTTGGAAATTGGTTGTAAACTGATTTTTTCAGCACTGTCATCATATATTCCCAATGAATTCTCAAGGAGGCATAAAATAGTTTATTATTTATATAAATAAAGCTACAAAATGACAAAAGGGCAGCAGAGGATAGTTAGAAAGACTAAATTAGCAGAATTAAACTCTAATTTTTTTGCATGTTATTTAAAAATATATAGGGGAGACTTAAGGTGACTCATTCTTTATGAACATTTCTACAACTCCACAAGCGGTAGGCCCATATTAAAAGGTCTACCTAGTAATCACAATCCACTTTTCTTGAAAAACCAAAGTAGAACTTAGAATTAAACAAGGTAGAAAAACTGGACAGAGCATGGATTCTGGAATTATTTTCAATCTCTTAATAGTACCTCCATTTTGGGTTGCGTGACCAGGAAGGAAGCTCAGAATAGAGCCATCAGTACATTCTGAGCCACTGTCCACTTTATTTCCATTGGAGCATAACAGTATTAAATGGATGTTTTTTAACTGTAGCCCTTAGCCAGATCCAATCAACATTTTAATGTGATCGCCTTCAACAGGAGTCCGTATCAACCCCCAGGGATTAATGGCACTATCCATTATTGTTATTATTATATCCATAACAATGTGAAATCGCAGCTGCCAATTCTTTAGCTGGCATTAGTTCATACTCATCAAGTTCTTCCCAATAATTTAGGATGCTGTAATGTATTGGTATAGTATATGTGCTGATCCAAGCAATATGATCTTTTGTAATTGACAGATGAAAATTTTGTGCTGTTCCAAGATTTTTTTGTTATGGCACCCTGTGTGCTGACAACCACCACAGCCGGTTTACACCATAATCTTTAAATTTCAATTTTCAAATCTTGGTACTTGGTGATCTTCTCCAATTCTTTGTCTTGTTCTACTATTCCCTGGTATTACCACATTAATTGCCCATACTCTTTTTCAACTTCAGTTCAATCTGGCATGTTATGAGCCAAAACTATATCAGCTTGTATTCAGAAATCCCACAATATTTTAATCTGCTCATTTTTTATCACTTTTTTAACTATCAGTTTTTTATTACAGGCACACGATAATTTTACAGAAGTTCCAGTGAATCATTTTGGCAACTATATTATGTCATGGTTTATAATCAGTTTGTGTGATCTTCTTGCATGAGCTGAGTATATGATGTACTGTTCCTTCTGCTTCTTTGCACAATCTGTACTTCGAATTATTTGATGCTTTTTTTATTTCTGGTCTTTTTTATTAGTTTATAATATAAAATTCAAAACAAAATAATAAGAAAGATAGGGGAGGGAAAAAGGAAAGGAAAAATGTAAAAAGGAGGGGAAAAAGAAAGACAAGGCATTGACTTCCCACTCTCTTTGGTGCAGTAGAATAAGATAATAACATCAAACCTCAGCTTTTTACTTTTATACAGTAGTATAAACCAGCCATTTCTATAACAACAAACAGTTCTGGCCTTGATTGCATTACAGGAATTCCTTGACATACAACCATAATAAAGCCTGACCATTATGGTCATATGTTATAATGGCCATAAAACAGGTCAGTCATGTGACCAACCCAATTTTACAACCTTTTTTTGCAGTGATCCTTAAGCAAATCTGCAGTCATTAAGCAAATGACACAGTTGTTGACAAAACCATTGGTCATCTAAATCAGGGTTCTCCAATCTCTGGCCCACGACCCACTAGTGGGCCGTGAGCTGTTTGCAACTGGGCTGTGGAAATGGGCGAGCACATGTGCATCCCACGTGTGCTCCATTTGCATGAGTGGCGTGTGCGTGTGCACACTCACACAAATGGAGCTGCGCGTACCCACGCTTGCCGGCCACTCACACAGAAGGATTCCCATTCCACCCCTGCCCACACAAAGCTAGAAAGGCTGGGGAACTCTGATCAAAATTATTTCCTGCATTACTTGGTGACATACTAATGACACTGTGTAGATAAAGTATTGATTACTTACATCTAATCCTGGTTCCCCTATCTTTCCCTGCATTATTAAAAAGGAGAAATAGAGAACATTGATAAGATGACAGTGGACTAGCACATTAACTGGGTTATATAAGTTATAATAGTCTATAATTTATATAAAAAAGTACCAAATCCGGGTATCTTAGTAGATTTAGCTTCAATGGGAGAATTAAGCAATATCCTATCTAACTACTACTAATTTCTATGTTTATTGAATTAGGATTATGCAAACCTTTATACAGGCTAACTTTAGGGTCATCTGTCATTTTAGTAGGGCAAAAAGAAAGTAAACATGATAAATCTTCTTAATTATTTTTGTAGATGCTTTTTTCCCCAATTACAAACATAAGATAGATTTTCTCCTATATTTGATTCAGGCAACCTGGCTAAAATACATCCCTGAATTTAAATCTGTAAGAATTGGTGCATACCCTACTACAACTGTTTGCTTCATGACAGAGAGCTGCCTTTATACAAATGTAGATCCCTTCAGTAGATACAAGAGTTTCGGGCAGAATCAAATGCCCAATGATTTTTCATGACAGAAGGATTTAGTCTGTTGTGGTAAAGTGATACTAAATATATCCAAAATGCATTATTTAGGTGACTTTACAGCACATTAAAAAGGAGCAATGCATTTTAACAATTTTTTTTAACAAATGTTTTAGTTCCTACCTTCTCCCCTTTGGTACCTGGTAAACCAATAAGTCCAGGAGTGCCAGGAAGACCCTAGAGAAAATGAAAATTATCAGAAATATTTGGGATCTTACTGCTCCACTGGACAGGTTTCATAAAGTTCTGTTACTTACATGTGGCCCCGGGACACCTTTTTCACCTTTATGGCCACTTTCACCTTTTGCACCCCTCGAACCATCTGAGCCCTAAAGGAAAACAAATGTTTTGATTAGACTTTCACATAATCACATGCTATTTAATAACCTGCTTTATTTCTGCTTCATAAATCAGTTATGTTTGCATGGCACCCACTTTTCTTGAGGAAAATATAAAATGGTATATTCTTTAAGAAAAATTGCCATTCTTCTAACTCTTCATTTTATCTTCAGAGAGCCAGTTTGGTGGCATAGTTAAGGTATCAGGCTGGAAACTGGGAGACTGTGAGTTCTAGCCTGCCTTAGGCACAAAACCAACTCCCACTCAGCCCTAGTAAGGAGATAATGGCTAACTACTTCTGAAAAAAAAAGAGCTTTCCAAGAAAGCTGCAGGCAGAATCAAGAATCTGAGAATCAAGCACAATTAAATGGAAGGAAAAAAAGAAAAAAAGGACCCTCTTCATTAGAGGAAAAGAGTCTGCATTTTTTTCAGTTTCCTGTTATAATAGTAATTGAAAAATTACTATTGAAAAAAATCCATGCCAATATTTTGTCCTCACTGAAGCTAAACACACCTCCCCACCAAACAGCAACAAAAATAATCTCCGTATAATCAGTAGAGAAACTCTTACATAAATCAATGTGTTTTTGTTCAACTGACACCTGAGAGAGAAAGTTATTCTACAATGTTTGTTAGTTTTTTCCAATATTTAATACATTTCAAGACTGTTTACTAGGAAATAAACAAATGTAAGGCGTGCTCCCTAGCACTGCATGTAGAACGTGAAACCCTTCTTTAGAGAAAAAAAAATAGAAGAATTTGCAAACACCCTTATTCCTGATCAAACACTCCTTTGTAAGTACGATGAGAAGTATGTGCCTAATGATTTCTTTCCAAACTCTATGCTAAATATACAGTGATTTTGGAGATTTGCATCAGAACAGGTTTGAAATTCGATTTTTATGTAATATGCTCCCTCAGTTTGAGTCCTGATTTAGGTGAACGTTTCCATAGACTTCTTGAAAAATGTCTCTGAAAAATTATTGCAAAAGTTGTTTTATCAAAGAAATAAACTGCTGTTGACTCCATCTACTAAATCCATAATCATAATTGACCACTAAATCCTCATCTAAATGAACTATTTTTCTTCAAATCAATGTTCTATTATCAATTAACTTCTCAATGTCTATGGTTTTTTTTCTTGCATTCAAGAGCCACTATACAATATACAAGACAGCATATGACCTGTTATGTTTTTGTTTGTCAATATAGAAGTAGACAGATTGACCATGGGCAGGCAAAAAAGTAGTGGGAATGGGAATGACTTCCAACTTCCTGCTGTCTTCCCCATTGACTTTGCTTTTGGGAAGCTGGTAGGGAGTATCAGAAATCACAGTCTCGGGATTGAAGCTGCCTGTGGCGGTGCAGCAATGGAGACATGCAAATACAACTGGTCAGAAGATCTTTGATTTTCTATGCATTCTGTAAGTTAACAGTTTTGAGGTACCTTGATTCAAAAATGGTTGCCCTGTGATACATTGTTTCAACTCCTTGAAAGATAAATATACAGGAGAGTTTTAGCAATATATATAGATTCAAACTTTTTATGACACACCTTTTGTCCTTGAATTCCTTGAGGGCCCTGTAAGATAACAATAGAACATTTGAGAATAAAACCCTTTTAAAGATGTAGGTTTATATCTAATAAAAATCTTCAGATTTCTATGTTAGTAATTCACTTGTGTCCCTTCTCTCACTGAAGGCTCTTCAGTTCAGTAGAAGATTATCTGGAATGGGAAGATGTTTTCTCATTGTTCTTTGGGACAGCTTCACTGTTGAGACAATGCTTGCCCTCTTTGTTTTCTTTTCAGAAGAGGCTAAAAATTGAACTATTCCAAACAATCTCTGTAGACCATCTGGGTTTGAAAGCTGGAAGTGAGTTTTTAGTTCATGTTATTAGATAATTTGTAACACTGCCCCAGGACAGGATGCAGAGCTTGGTCATAAAAACTGGATCCCTAGCTGGCCTGCAGAATTTAGCTCCATGTACTATTATTGATACATATACAGGGTCTCCAAGTAGCAACTTTAAAGGGTGTTCTTGATCGAGACAATGGAGTGTGACCTATGAGCAGAGGATACAGACTCATAGAATGGCTGAATCAGATGAAGAGACGATATCTCAGCAAGTGATATTCCTTTGGGAATTTTATAAATAAATATATATTCCTTTTGGAATTTTATAAATAAATAAAATGAAGTGATGTCATGCATTACTATAACGGCCATCAACGTGACACATATTAGTAGAAACGTGTACTATTGTCCCAGGTTTAATTACTAAGGACTCACCTTATGTCCTTGTATTCCTTGAGGACCCTAGAGACAATAAATATTCATTTGAAAAATATTCTAAAATAGTATTGGAGGTTTGAAACATTTGTGCTCAAAACGTTAGCATTACAAAGCCGAATTTCCGCAGCCAATTCTAAACATTTCCAAGATAACTTATACTTGCTGGGAACAAAGTTGTTGCACATCAACATTTGTGGGGCCCTATTATTCATTCCTGTTATTATTAATATTAATATTAATGTTATTGTCAATCCCCAGTATTAAAAACTTAATTCTAAATGTTTGTTACCTTGGTATGCATGAATACTTCACCTTGTATTCAAAACTATTCCCCAAATTTTATCCCTCAGATACATGGGAAAACTACTAAGAGATATTTACTTATATTTCTAAGCCAATGCATCAGGCTAAGGTTTATCTTCATGATCACCAAAACAAACAAAAACATCTTTGGGTTTGGCTCCCAAAGATCGATTCTGGATGTATCATGATGGATGTATCATTCTACATCCATCCAACAGGCAAGAGACACAAATAGGCATTTAATTCTAGAAGATCTTTAAGCATTGTACAAGTAATCCTTGGGTTATGACCCTAAGTGGGACTAGGATTTCTGCCAGTAAGCGAAGCAGTAGTTAAGCTCATGTCAGAAGTTGCTAGCCCTTTTTGAACCCTTGCAGGAACAAGGCTGTGCTGAACAAACAGAGAGTCAGTGGGTATGTTCTGTTGATACAGAGATTGCTGCCACCCCTTCCTGAGGTCTACAGGCCAGTTCCTTAGGAGCACTTCTGTGTGAGTTGAGGGGCGCCTGCTGTGCCTCAGTGAAGCCCTCTACTTCTTTCAGTTCCATCACCACACAATCTATGGACTATCGCTCCTTGAGGCAGAAGATGGGGCAGCTCTGACCGCACTCCTGCTCTGCCTCCTCTGCTGACTATGTCCTGCTGCATCTTCCCTGGCTGGGCCTGGTGAGCTCTCTTTGGCAGATGAGGCTCTGATGACATGTGGCACTCGCTGTACATATCCTGAGGATGCATCCTTGTCTAGACCCTGGAACCTGGGTCAGCAGTGGGTGAAGAAGATGGTGAAGATCAGCAGAAGGCAGTGGCAGTGGAAGGCGGCAAGGGTAGCCAAGCCAAGCAGGATGGCCCAAAAGTCAGATATTGTGACAGATAGGCAGGTGGGGGGGGGGGGACGGACTTGAAGCAGAAGCAGTTCACGCAGGGCAGGAGACAGTGACAATGGATGCTGCAACCAGCTGTAAATGTGGGCTGGTTGCCAAGTGTCTCAAAATTGATTACATGACTGCACTGCAATGGCCAGAATTTTGAGGACCAGTTGTAACTACCATTCATCCAGCAATGTCATAACTTTGAATGGTTGCTGAATGAATGGACATAACTCAAGGGCTATCTATAAATGTTTGCAATGATCATCAAAGGTTAATTGTCTAATTCGGAGAGATCTGCTTGGTTGGGGGTCACATAAATGGCAGGGTTGTCAATATCCCAGCCAAGCTACTTGAGCATGAAAAAAGTTCTAGTAACACTTACCATAGGACCTGGTAGACCTGGTAGACCGGGTACACCAGGAGGCCCTGGTTCAGGTATGATCTGCACGTGTAAATGACATCACAAATCTGAACTGTGAAACCACACATGAAGAAAGGTAACTCTTCAAAATGAAAAGTGGGATGTGATTATTGGAAAAGCATAGCAATTAATAGATGGGGAAAATATTTTAAAATTATTCCTCTAAAGAGCGAGCCTGGGTATAGTATAGAGTTTTCTGCAAACCCTGTATCTCCGTGATGCATCAAATTCTTACAGGCTTAAGGGTGCCCATCTCTTTTCCTAGAATTGCAATGTTACTATAATATCATGCACTACGTTTCTTGGTATATTTTTCCTGAAATACTCAATGGGTGCAAGTTCTACTACTCCGCAATAAAGCCTGCCAGAAAACAGCAGAAATGCATGATAATGGCATACAACAATCTAGACAAGAATTTCATACATGTGATGCAATCCTGCACCAAAGATGGGTAACTTGTGGTGTTTTGCCTTCTGGTGGGTCTTGAAGTTCTTTCTATCACACAATTAATCACACAATCTCCTGCTATTTTGGAATAAGTAATAGATAATTATTGCTTCCTACCTTAAAGCCATATTGCAGTTTAAAACATCTACCACCTTATGAAAAGGCCAGAATATATGGCCCCATATGGCAGTCCTTAGCCTCTCAGTGTCTGGTAAGTATAACCATAAAGAGGTTGCCATCTCCAGCTTTATGTTATGATCTTAAACTATTCCTGAATGTAAGTAGCCTTGCCATCCAAAGTAAATGAATAATTTCCAAATAAATGACTTGATTCCAGATACGAAAACACCCTTAAATGCCCTGAAGACTCAGTGAGTGATCATTTTAATACTTCTATATGTATTTTAACTTTATATTTTACTTTTTTTCAACTACCTTATTTATCACATGCTCAGAACAAGCACCAAAATTGTGTTTATTATAGAAAATTGGGCTACTGTTTTTATAACAAGGCTGTAATTTTGCATCTTGGCATATTTTGATAGTAACCATATCTGGCAAGTATATATTCGGTTAGTGACAACTTACAAGATTTTGCTCAGAGGGTGTCCCAGGTTCTCCTTTAGGTCCATCAATACCCTAAATAGGAATAAGAAATAAAAATAATGATACCTGAGGATAGTTCTAGATAAAAATAAAGGTAAAGTCTGCCTCTGTCTAATGGTGTCTGACTCTAGGGCAGGGATAGGCAACCTTGGCTCTTTTATGACTCTGGACTAACTCCCAGAATTCCTGAGCCTAATTCAAAGCTATATTCGTGTTTTTCTGCCACTAATGGCAGTGAGAAATATGCAATCTGCACTGTATGGTATTTGTGGCCTCATCCTTCCTCCAATCAAGCCTTGAGAAGTATAGTGTAGGAGATGATCAGGCTGAGCTTGAGGGAGGGGGTCAAGTGCGTCATCAGTCTCGAATTCCTTCACGCCCACAAGAGATCTAAGTCCAGCCCACCTTGAATTCCACTGACTCTTATCTACCACCAAATTGCTTGATCGGTTAGTAGTTCAGATTCGTCTAAAGAGCTAAAGTTTGCAATAAATGTTTATACTCATTTGAACTGCCTGGGCCTTCTGACTTCCCTAGCGCTTGACATATAGCTGGGAGGAAAGAGAAACAAGCTTCCCTCCTTCCAACAGCCCCAAAAGCAAAAACTGTTCAGTGGGAACATCACAGATTTCCCCTTCCTTCTACAACCCTGCTTAAAATGGGGGGTGGGGGGGGGAGCTGAGTGGATAGTGTCTGTATATGGTGGGTGCCTGCATGTGAGTCAGAAAAAGAAAAGGTGTAATATAGTTAAGAGGAACATCTTGAGAAGATGGGTGTCCTAGCAATCTGTGTAACTGTGGAGGCTGAGTAGATGGCCTACCTATACTGTAAAAGAGAACCTGGTAATAATCTCTCAGGGTGGCTTCCTTAGCAAAAGTTCAAAAGATCCTGATCTATGGAATTCACCAGTAAAAAAAAAGGCTTGTTCTGCTATAGATTACTGTAATAAGCAGCCATATATTGTACTGAAAGCAGATCATACCGGAGGACCAGACAAGCCCATTTCTCCTATCTCTCCTTTGTCTCCCATTATTCCAGGGTTTCCTTGCTCTCCTTTCAATCCTTTGGGGCCCTGTAAGTTATGAAACAAAAGTATGACACACTGTTAATTGGGTAAACACTTTATCTCACCACCATGGATTTCCTTCTCGATCTTCTAAGTTCCTCCCTGAAAAAGACTGAGGGGATTAGCCGGAGAGGTTTTGAAGAGGAAATATTAAGGAATATAGTACATACGTATTTCTGGAAGATAACCTTTAAAAAGTTCCTGTAAACTGGATTAACTTACCAGTGCAGCCTAATACAAATTATTTCAGCAAAGAACTTGTATCTGTCACTGCCATTTTTTCAGAATTTCCTTATATGTATTTGGGGGGGGCACAGGAATATAATAGTGGGCTCAAATTATACTGCAGAGTGCAGATTTGCAAAAAGAAAGGATTTGAGGTCAAATCAATCAATCTCAGGAATTTGAATTGAAAAGCAAGAAAAATGAAAGGGGAAAAATGAGAAGGTAATATATGCTTCTTACATATTAGTTTTTGGAAACTCTCCAGATGGTATTAACTTTATTAGGAAGTGGAATAAAAAAAACTTGAGTACCAAAACAAAGCATTAAGAATAAACTACAAGTAATGCAAAGATTTCTGCTTTTAAACTGAGAATTGCAGTAGCAGATGTCTCTCTAGAGCAGGCATGTCAAACTCGCGACATCATGTGACATCATGCGACGTCTCGTGACTTTTCCCCCATTGCCGGCAATGGGGTGGGTGCGGTTTCGGCGTGATGCATCCAGCCCGCAGGCTGGCAGTTTGACATGCCTGCTCTAGAGGAGCAAAATACTAAAAGCTGAAGGAACAGTGGTCACTCAAAATCCCTGCCACTGTTGTCTAAAAACTTCACTGAGCAGATGGTGAGGAAATTCTTCCACTTGGTTGCCAAGCAAAAAGCAAAATAAATAAATCTGCAATTTGGTATCAAAATCACAGTATAGGTAATCCTCATTTACCGACCACAATAAGGCTTGGCATTGCTAAGCAGTATGATTGTTAAGCATGATGTCATGTGACTGGACTGACTTTACAACATCAGTTCTGTCAGTTCCAGCTGCAGTCGTTAAATAAATCACTGTGGGTGATTAAGCGCAACGTCAGATGACCATGACTTTGCACTTCCGGCTGGCTTCCCCATTGACTTTGCTTGTTGGATTATGAAGGTTGCAAATGGCAATCACACGTGCACAAAATGTTGTGACCATCGTAAATGCGGTCCAATTGCCAACACCCAAATCATAAACATGACTGTAGGGCTACTAGGTCAGTTGCAATTTTGAGGAACAGTTGTGAATCTCCTTTTTCAGTGCTGTTGTAACTTCAAACAGTCACTGAAGGAATGGTCAGTAAGTGAGGAATATCTGTACTTTAGTGGACCAATTGTAGACTAGCATTGAATTTTAGGATTGTTTTCATGATGAGAATGAGATCACTTTGCTTCCATGCATATTTCCCTCCCTAAAATCCCAAACCCTACAGAAAGTATTTGGCCCAGCCCCCTCTAAGGGTGTCACTCAATGGTATGGATTGGTTAAAGCAGTGTTTCTCAACCTTATCAACTTTAAGATACCTGGACTTCAATTTCCAGATTTCCCTGGCTGGGGAATTCTGGGAGTTGAAGTCCAGGCATCTTAAAGTTGTCAAGATTGAGAAATGCTGTGTTAGAAGCTGCCACTCAAGTTTAATGGAAAAAAAAAATAAGATACAGACGCACAGGTAAACCAATCATGCCCACTTCTCCAATCTCTCCCTTCTGTCCTTCTAGTCCAGGGCTTCCTTGATCTCCCTTTGACCCTTTCAATCCCTGTAACATAAAGCAAAAGTACATGGGGTTTAGTGCAAAGGATTTGTTTTCGAAACTTCTCAGAGATACAATAAATTCTGCTTACAGAAGAAAGTCCGGTTTACGATCAAATGCTGATGATAAAAGAGTAGAACAAAATTTCTCAGAGTGGAAAATAATTCCTCAAGATATTGTTATCATACACTTCCCTGCACAAAATTTATCATTTTGGATCAAACTTGTAATCTCATAGCGGAATGGGTAATAAAGAGCCAGATGGGCAGCTAATCCAGATAGTGTTGTTACTGCAGTCTTTTGTTGTGCTGGGCTGGGGAGGAGAATGAGTTGGGGAGGGGACATTAATTTTCAGTGGATTACTTACTCTGGGAGAAGATGGACTGCAATTCTCAGCAAGGTTCCAGAGAAATATTTGCTCTGCTATTTGTTTTTTGCTCAATAGGGTTCTTGTTTCTCTACAAAAGCCTAAATAAGCCTCTTTCCCCATGAGACCAAAGCTTTTGAATGATATAGCCTGTTGGTAGAACTTTCAGTATTTACTTCTTGGATAATATAGCCTGTTAGTGAAACTTCCAGTATATACTTTTGCAAGATGTCTTCAAAGACATCTTAATGGTATGCAGATACATTCACATTCTGCAAAGGTTTAATTCTATGGTAGCTTATGTACCAAACTCTGAATAGCTCAGGAAATTCTTTGCATTCTGAAGTGCTATGTAAATCCTTTGCTTCTGTACAATACAAAGCGTCACTCTTCAAATTACCCAAAAAGCCACAATGTATTTCTTGGTAAGCTAATAAAATGTGGAATAGACAACATCACCACCAGATGGATTTGTAGCTGGCTGGCAAACTGTACCATTGAGTAGTCCTCAATGGTACTACATCCACATGGAAAGAAGTAAGCAGTGGGGTACCACAAGGCTCCATCTTAGGCCCAGTACTCTTTAGTAACTTCATAAATGACTTAGATGAGAGGGAAAAGAAGGGGAACTCATCAAATTTGCAGATGACACTAAACTGGCAGGAATAGCCAACACCTCAGAAGACAAGCTCAGGATCCAAAAAGATCTTGACAAACTTGAACAATGGGCTCTATCCAAAAAATGAATTTTAATGTAGAGAAAAGCAAACTTTTACATTTAGGCAGGAAAAATCAAAGGTATAAGTACAGATTAGGCAAGACCTGGCTCAAAAACAGTAACTGTGATAGGGACTTTGGAGTCCTAGTGGATGATCATCTGAATATGAGCCAGCAATGTACAGCAGCAGCCAAAAAAGCTAATAGAATCCTGGATTGTATAAAAAGAGGCATAGAATCAAGATCACGCAAAGTATTAGTACTGCTTTATAAAACCCTGGTAAGACCACACCTGGAATACTGCAATCAATTTTGGTCACCATACTACAAAAAAGATGTTGAGACTTTGGAAAAAGTTCAGAGAAGAGCAACTAAGATGATCAAAGGCCTGAAAACTAAAACATATGAAGAACAGCTGCAGGGCTTGGGTTTGGCTAGTCTAAAGAAAAGAAGAAATAGGGGTGACATGATAGCAATATTCCAGTGTTTGAGGGGCTGCCACAAAGAAGAGGGGGTCACATTATTCTCCAAAGCACCAGAGGGCAGGACAACAAACAATGGTTGGAAACTAATCAAAGAGAGAAACAACCTGGAATTAAGGAGAAACTTCCTAACAGTGAGGACAATTAACCAGTGGAACTGCTTGCCTTCTGAAATCATGGGCGCTCCATCACTGGAGGTTTTTAAGAAGATAGACAGTCACTTATCTGAAATGGTGTAAGTTCTCCTCTTTGAGCAGGGGGCTGGACTAGAAGACCTCCAGGTTTCTTCCAGCTCTATTCTATTCTGTTCACATCTTTTTTTCCACAGCTTGCTCCAGTAGTTGTGAAGGGCTTCTTTTGAAAACTTTGTACAGCCCTATTAAAATGATTTTGACTATCTGATAAGATAAATTTGTATACAGCTAAAGCTTGCCTGATTTTTAGTCAGCCCTTTGTAGAATGGACTTTGTAGAATGCTTGTCTTTTGATTTCTAACTTTAACTTCCAGAGTTTCTCCCTTTGTTTTATTTTCTTTTTTATTGTAAATTACATCTGGTTGCTGGGCTTCACAAAATGAGAGAGAAGTATGACAAGTAAAAAAGTTGCTCTTTCTGTTTATTTCTGTCAGCAATGTTTGTTCAGAATGGCAATAAACAGGCCTATGTTTATAAAATTCATTTCCTCATAATCCCTTGAAGATTCCAACTGTTTTAATAACTTTGACAATTACAGTGCAATCTCTTAACTATTTGATTCACTGCACTTACAGCTAGCAAAGTATAGAACTGTAGCCATTTTCTATTTTAAAATAAATTCAGCCAAATATTTTCATAGTGAACATACATCTTGAAACATACCCTTTCTCCGTCAACTCCAGGTGGACCAGGCAAGCCAAGCTCTCCCTAAAATATTACCAAAAAATGAATAAATCAGGACAAAGGGGATAGTCTGAATCGAACCAGTTCAAAGTAAATTCTACAAAAGAACTTTTATTTTCTTTGACTAAGTATTACAGCCATTCTCAAAGCTTGAAGAGCTGTCAATAAAGCTAGATATTTCAGTCAAAGTACCCGTTTCTTCAGATTGCAATTCTATGTCCACTTACCTGAATTAATGACTTTGTATTTTCAGAATTAAAACACCCATTTAAATTTAATTTAAACATCTTCCAGCTGTAACTTCTAAACAAAGGAAATCTTTCAAGTTCGAAGTGAGTAAAAAAAAATAAGATCTTGGTGAGTATAAAATAACATTTGCTAGACTTCAGTTATGCTGTTTTTGCTGTTTTTCAGATAAGTTGTTAGATCTTCAATAAATAGCTATTAAGAACCTCTATCAGCAACTGTTGTTGAAATCCAAGTAACCATATAAACAAACCTAATGCATATATTACCATATAAATTAAAATACATAAATCACCCAAAGATTACTGATGCTTGCTACCTGTATATCTCTACACGTTCATCTTCAAAACTCATCAATGACCTGATCAATTCTCAAAGGAACTGTGTCATTAATAGAATAACCCACACAAATCAGTCAATAATTGTGCCACCAAATGGCCATTGGGTAGAACAGGGCTGTCCAACCTTGGCAACTTTAAGACTTGTGGACTTCAACTCCCAGAATTCCCCAGCCAGCAAGGTTGGCCACCCCTGGCCTAGACTAACACATTTTGCTTTAAAGGAGCTGAGATCTAACCTTTGGTCCTGGAGTGCCTTGAGGCCCTGGTTCCCCTTGAGGCCCTGGTGGCCCCTGAAACAAAGAAGAAGGATTTTGTTGCTGTTGTTAACAATAATATTTAAGAAATAAAGCATTTATTAAATAATCACGTACTGAATAACTTTTAGAAACCAAGCAACAGATACTTTAAGCAACAATGATAATATACAGAAATGTCTAGAATGTAGAACAGACCATTTAATATTTAACTGCAGGGAATTTATTCCACGGTGCAAGAAAGCTTATAAACAATTTCTGTTCAATGAGTCCTGCATTATGAGATGGTAAGAGCCATCTGCCTTATAACAATAATGACACATCTCCAAGATGTCACTTAATGGAAACCTTGTTTTCCTTCTTTTTCAATCTCCTCAACTGGCCACAGTGGACAGATACAAATATGTAAACGCGATATTTTTCTGAAATTCTCGCAATGTGGGAAATCTTGGATTATCAACACCATACCACCTCACCACAAGATTTTTGTTTTCTTTTGTATGGAACTCTCTTAAAATACAAGGGAGAAGATAAGGTAAAATGGAGATCTGTTTGGGCCCAGCAAAAACTAGAGAGACATTGGCTCCTTTATGTCAATCACCTTATTACAGGAAGTCTTTTAACTTATGACTATTCATTGAGCGACCAATCAAACTTAGGGAGGTGCTGACCTACAGCCAATCTTTGCACTTACGACTACTGCAGCGTTCCAGGGGTACGGGAGTACCATTTGTGACCTTCCCAGCTGGCATCCGACAAACAAACTCATTGGAAGAAAGCTGGATTTGCTTAACAACCAGTGATTCGCTTAAGACAAAGGGGGATTTGCTTAAAGAGGCTTATAACATTGGGCACGGTTTGCTGAGTGATGCAAGTATTTAATAATAATAATAAAGTTGGAAGGGACCTTGGAGGTCACCTAGTCCAACCCCCTGCTCAGGCAGGAAATTAATTAATTATTAATTAATTTTTTAAGCCTGCCCATCTGTCTTCCAGAGGAATTCTGGGTGGTGTCAAATTAAATACATATATATATTTAAAAAAGCATATAACATTTTTAAAGGAGACAGGTTCCAGTCCCAATTGTCATCACAAGTTGAGGACTATCTGTAGTTGAGAACTATCTGTAGTTCCCAAAATGAATTTTCTGCTTGTATTAAATATGATTACATGTATTTTACATTTTTATACACAATACCTCTTTTTAGAGAAACTAAATACTGTCCCTTCAAAATAAAATTTCCTAATTTTAATTTATCACATATTCTGGCTGGAATGTTGGGAACTGAATTTACCAGTTCAGTAACATATATGCAACATTTGTATTGGAAGCACTGGGTAAAAGCACTAAATATGAACAAATTTCATTTTGTTCACTATGAATATACATGCGGGTGACAAGTTCTTGTAATTTATTAAGAAATGCGACTTAGCTTTCATCATGAAGAATTCAATCTGAAGACTGCCCTCTACTGGATAAATATTCCTTCCATTGATAAAAGGAAATCTTTGGATTTAATCCAAACAATTATACACCTTTGACATATTACACTGAATATGCAATGCCTGAAGTCTTCCAATGCAAATTAATTCAGGGCACAAATCAAGTATGGGACAAATGTGCATTTAAAAAAAGTCTTGTATAAAACATATCAATGTATCATGCATGCATGATCAGGACTGAGGTGGCACAGGAGGCTCAGCTGTCTGAAAGCTCATATGCAGAGAAGTCTACCTATGAACAGTTGCTTACACAGAGGCTTTCACCCAACTGGATTCCCATCATATGGAAGCCCACGTGTGAATAATTGCTAACGTGCAGGTTAGGCCACTACAGAAAAAATTACAAGGGTGTTGCAGTCCCATTCCTGATAACAGCTGTGAACGTGTGATTCATGTATGAAATAGGACAGTGATGGCGAACCTTTTAGAGACCGAGTGCCCAAACTGCAACCCAAAACCCACTTATGCATCATCGGGTGCCGAGTGGTTGTGGCTCATTGGGTGGGTGTGGCCCATTGGGTGGGCATGGCTGCAGTGGTAACGGCAGACAGGGTGGGACTAAAAAGTTCAATCAATCAATTCCAACTTTGCAAGATCTTTTTTTTTCCCGCGAGAAGTTGAAATTGACTGATTGAACCTTTTTTTTTTTTTTGCACACGGCAGTGGAAGCCTAAAGCGAAAAGGTTTTATAAAACCCAGCTGAAGGCCTAGGACTGGGGCGACGGCACGTGTGCCCACAGAGAGGGCTCTGAGTGCCGCCTCTGGCACCCGTGCCATGGGTTCGCCACCACTGAAATAGGCTATACATGGGTAAACTAATGATCTCATGATAATTTGATTATTCATGTAAAATAGTTTGAAACTAGGTTTCAATGAAGACAGTCATGGGAAATTCTTGGATTTTTTTTGGGTGAGAAAGATAGTGGAAAACAGAATTTAGTTATTCAAGATTATTTTTCCTATAATATGGGAAATATTTTTCCCAGTTACCCTGAAAACAAAAATACAAGTCAGAGTGAATATGTTCTAATAATCAGATTTTCACTATCATCTAAAATGTAAATTGGGAATATTTAATCTAATAGCCATCTCTGGTATGGTGGAGTCAAGTCATTTTGGGCCCTTGACTAAAATAAAGTCAAGTTTCCTGTTCTAAAATGATAAAAACTAAGCAGTGTTAACTAGTGGTCCACTTTTACTCCAAGTGTTTAGAACTTGAATTATGTTGGCTGGCTGTTAATGGGAGTATCAAGAGATCAGAATGCTGTACTGGATTAATGTAAATGACAGGCATTGGTCAAGTCAAAGCTAAGTAGTAATATTAATTTCAGTAATGAGTAAAAAGCTTTCTCATATTAAGCACTGCCAGTTACTTTAGTATCAAAATGACTGTAGCATTACTCACTAAACTTCAGAAAGCTAGAGAAATACAAACCAAAGTAAACAATGCCTTCAGATTTGGATCTGTGTTATTAACCAAATGTTTAGCAGACGTTTTGTTAATGATCGCAATCCAGAAATCCAAGGCAAAAAAGCCACATGCTGGGCCATTCCAACAAACCAATTCAAGAGAGCATCTGGCGCGCCACAATTACCGTCAATCTGGGTTTCCCCACAGCCTGTTATAAAAGAATTAGGATGGTTTTCAAATGTACTCAACATAGCTAAAACAATAGTTTTGAAGGATTGAAGTTTTGAAGCCCTTCTTCCAATGGAAAAATAGTATAATCTGTGCAAACTTGCTATCAGAAAATATTACTGCTTTGCTTTTATCTATTGATCTGAAAGGAAAAATGTAAACTCTATCCCTGTAACTACTAAACTGCAATCTATTATGTAAAATAAACACCTGTAGGTAGCCATTACTGTGCATCAGTGGTGGGATTCAGCTGGTTCGCACCGGTTCGGCAGAACCGATATCTAATTTTTTGTTGAGTTTGGTGAACCAGCTATGATAAGTCTGTTTTTCAGAACATGTCTGGTTTCGTTCAACTTCCTTCCAGGTGGGAAAAAAACCCCTACCCAAAAGTCCAAGAGAGGAGCGACAGAAATCAAATGGAGAGACAACACCTTCGATCATGTCAGCTGCCTGCCTGCCTCTTGCCTTTCACTGCCCTCCCAAGCCGGACTGCCATGCTATGAAGGATGGGCCTTACTCAGTCCCCCTCCTCTGTTTCAGAGCCGGAGGGAGCGATGGCGAAAAGCTCTGCCACTTCTATGCAACAGTCATGTCTGCCGCTGGAGGGGCTTTCTTTGGTCCCTGCCACCTCCTTCTCCGCCAACTCTCCCATGGCTTGCGCCGTGACCGGGGGGCACAAGCCTCCCCTGCTGCCTCCCTCTGCCAGTCTGGGTATACCTCCGTTGCCCCCACACTTTCTTGCCACACTTTGTTGCCACCCTGCAATGGCCTTCTCCGTTCTGGAAATGGCAGGCCCATTTTCTGCCACTTTCCTCCCAGCAGAAGGAGGAAAGAAAGGATGCTTCATATGGAAGGACACTACGGTAACCTCCGGGAAAACTATACCAGATGGAGCTGGGCGGGACAGCCTTCCCCGCTGGTTCTGCAAAGCCCTGGAGAAGTGGATCCACTTCCCACAGGGCTGGCCTGATCTGCTCCTCATTCTCCCCAGAATAGAAAAGGGAGACGCGGGCTGATGCAAGGTGGCAAGAAAGTGCTGTGCAGAGGAAGCAAAGAAAGAAGGAAAGAAGACTTAAGGACACCCGGGGGTCAAAGGAAGATACCATAAGCCGCCTTTCTCCCTTTCTCCCTTTCCCGGCTGGGACAGAGGCAGCCCACACAGGCTGCTGCTTTGTGCAAGTGGATGCAACCCTGGTGACCGAGGCTCCTCAGGGCCATTCGAGAAGTTTTGTTCCTGGGTGGTGGTGGGTAAAAACTCCACCCTGCAGCAGTTTTCCACCCCTGCATCTTCCCCAAGCAGCTTA